GAAAAATTGTGGATGAAGATTCATTCACCTTGAATCTGATTACTGGGCTGCCGACGCATTGGGAGGAGCTAAGGCATTCAGCAATGTTACACGACATCTCGGACAGCTACACACTACAGCGAATGATGATTCAGGAACAACGTTACCAAGACCTCATTAGCAAGACCAACCGTGACAAACGTCCTCCCCGCATGGCTGGTCAAGCACGTGGAGATACTTCACCAGCAAAGGAGAGGACCGAGACAAAGGTCAACCAGAATGCGACAAGGTCAACGGGAGGGCAGCATGCGCCGGTTGGGGACAAATTCAAAGGCAACGAAGGAAAAAGAGGGCGGTCTAACCTTGTGTGTTGGTACTGCAAGGAATCCGGCCACCCGTTCTACAAGTGTCCCAAGGCGCCTCCGGGTTGGTCACCACCAGGTTGGGAACCACAAAACAGAGGGAGAACAAACCAGCGCACCTGGAGTAGCCGTCGTCCTCGCCTCGAAGGAGTGAAAGTCCGAAACGTGACAATCAAGCGACAAAACAGCAAGGGGCAGCCGGGGGAGACAACAAACGAACCGTTACATGCGTTGCAACAGTTCGATCGTCACAAGCAACGTTACCATCAGCCGGAGGGTCGATGTGGTTGCTGGACAGCGGATGCAGCCAACACATGACTTCAGAAAAGGATTGGTTTGAAGGTGTAAAGGAGCTGAACGAACCTGTGTATGTGGAGCTTGCTGACGGGAGCCACCTGTTGAGCTCGATGGCGGGAACAATTCGAGCAACGGCACCTGATGGAACAACCGTACGCTTCACCGACGTGCTCTATGTCCCCGGATTGAAGTCCAACTTGCTCTCTTATTGCCAACTGCACAAAAAGGGAGCTCGGATTCGTACACGTGATGATGGCAACATTGAGATCACTATGGCAGCTGGAGATGAGCATGTGGTCATTGGGATTGGGTTGATCATGCATGGTGTGCTCATGATGCAATATGAGCCTACACTTACATCCGCCCATGAATCTGGTCATGATCATCCGAATGAAGCATCGAATGAACCTGGTCTTGGAGGGCTGAATGTGCAGTCTGCTCATGCATCGATCACATACCGCATGGCCCACAAACGCTTGGGTCACCCATCATACACATCCATGGACGCAACATTTCGCAATGGAGATGTTGAAGGACTCTCCATATCCGACAAGACAAGTCCCCTCAAACCCACGTGTGACTCATGTCTTCGAGGGAAGATGAGCAAAACCCCATTTCCCACAGGTGGAGACAAGCGCACAACTCGACCTTTGGAGCTCGTGCATAGCGATATCATGGACTTGGGTGACGCTCACCCTTCACTTCGCTACGTGCTGACGCTCAAGGATGACTACACCAACTACCTGTGGGTGGCGCCGTTGGCTCGCCAGTCCGACATGGCAACTGTTTTCTCGGCATGGCATCGCGAGATGAAGACCAAATTGCCCACGAAGCCGCTGGCTGCCTTGCGCACGGACAACGGGGGGGAGTATACCGCGAATGCTTTCACGGAGTACCTGAGCTCTCACGGCATCAATCACCAAACTTCCTTACCACACACGCCACAACAGAATGGAGTCGCCGAACGGGTTAACCGTACACTCATGGACCGAGTGCGCGCAATGATTACTGGGGCCAGCCTTTCCTCCAAGTTTTGGCCTTATGCGCTGGAATATGCAGCATGGCTACACAACCGCATCAGCTGCAGCAGCAACCCATCGGCACACTCACCGTACTTCATGATGACGGGAAAGGTGGCAGATGTCTCGATGGCAAGGACCTTTGGCTGCCTGTGCTACTATCTCCCTCCCCAAGGCAGCTTCGGAAAATTTGAGCAGAGAGGTCGGACAGGCATGTTTCTCGGCCTCTCTAACTCACGAAAGGCATGGATCGTGCGGGACTTGGCAAGCGACGTTGACACTGACACACGCTCCGCTCGCTTTTTTGATGACCTCATGTTACCGGACGCTGAATCAGTACTCGAACGCCAACACTACTTGGAAGAAGTCTCACCGCACATTGACGGTTGGACTTCAGGCGGAGAAGGCTTTGGCTCCAGGTTTGACTCCTTTTCCGCATCCCCACCATCGCCTGCATCGCCCACAACCACACGAGGACAGGAAGTTGACGCAACTCAAAAGGACTCACCCATTGACGATGCAGCCGAAACAGGAGAAGGGGCTACAGCAAGTGACTTACCTCCAGCAGGCGTCTCTGTTCCTGAAATTGCTGAAAGCAACAACATGGAGAATGAGGCAAGTCATCTCTATGACTTTGCGTACCCACATGATGGAATCGAGCTGGCAGCTCATGACGCAACTCCACGACGGGTTCATTTCAACCCAACGGTGACTGTGCTTGGAAGAGAAGAACAAGGGACGGACGGCATGACAGGACTGGACGTACTGTTTGGGAAACAACGGGCAGCACAAGCGTTCAACGTGCAACAACACGTGCTAGGATGTGCAGCAACCGGCATCCCCATGGTGGACTTGACGTACAAGGAGCCCAAAACGCTCAAGGACATGACAACAGACCCGTACGCACCTCTTTGGCAAGCCGCGGTGGATGCAGAATTGGCTAAATTCGATGAGCTGGAAGCATACAAAGTGGTGGACAGAGCGGACGTACCAAAAGGAACGACGGTGCTGGCGGAAGGAGTCGTTCTCAGGGTGAAACGAGATGAGCACGGACAGCCAAACCGGTTTAAGACGCGCTGGGTGGTCAAGGGATGCGGACAAACATGGGGAACATACGATGGGACGTATGCACCAGTCAGCCAAGGACCTACCTCTCGCATGTTCGTCGCTGGTGCATCTACTACAAAGCGGAAGGTGGTGCAATTGGACATCTCCAACGCATTCCTGTACGCTCCAATCGACCGGGATATATACGTACGACCACCAGAACCAAGACGGGACGGAGACAAAGTTTGGAAACTCAAAAGAAGTGTGTATGGACTGAAACAAGCACCACGTTTGTGGCATCAACACTTACGGGGTGTCTTGTTGGAGCTGGACATGGTGCAATCCGAATCAGACCCCTCTCTATTTATCTGGAAAAGAGACGGACAGGACACGGTGTGGCTACTCACTTACGTTGACGACATTCTCATCCAATCTCATGACGCAGAAGGCATTGAAGCTGTGATTCAACACTTGAAGCAGCACTTTACCTTAACGGTCAGCGAGACCATGACGCAATTTTTGGGGCTCAACGTCACCGCGGACAATGACTTGATCGCACTCGGACTCACAAAGTACATCTCACAGGCTTTGGCGACATTCGGGATGGAGGGCAGCCGTTCCGGAGTACGGACACCGATCGCCAAGGAACCTTGACCACAAGGAGAATCACCGGACGAGATTAATGGTCAATTGGTGCTGAAACAAGTTGGGACATTGCTGTACATCTCAACAGCAGGGCGGCCGGACATAACCTATGCGGCGCATGTGCTGGCCAGGCAAGCAAGCAAACCAACAGCAACAACAGTGCTTGGAATCCACAGGGTGTTCAACTACTTACAGAACACTGCAGACATGGGGCTGGTCTATGGAGGAGGAGACTTGGTGCTCCGCGGATACACGGACTCGGATTATGCGAACGAAGAAGGGCGTCACTCAGTTGGAGGACTAAACGACAAACAGTCATTGCGACATCAACATCTGAAGCAGAATACATTGCGCTGTTTGAAGGGGCAAGGGAAGCCACATACCTTCGCCGCTTGTGTGAAGACCTCGGTTTTCGACAGCAGGACTCTACCGTCATCTTTGTGGATAACCAAAGCGCCATTGCGCTTGCAACCGGAGAGCAGATGAGTCAACGCATCAAGCATATGGACATCCGTTACCATTGGACGAGGAAGGCCGTTCGTGATGGAGTTGTACGGCCGGAGTACTACCCAACAGCTCAGCAAGCTGCGGATGATCTCACCAAGCCCCTCACAGCCAAACAACATCTCACCTGCAGCCTCTTGTGCGGTCTCCAACCAACTCCACATGTCGCACCGTCTGCACCCAGTACTCACATTGAAGCTGCTGGAGCTGCACTCTCCAGTCCGGGCTTCTCAAAGGGAACTGAACAACACAGCATCACGTAACTCCACACATCTCACTCATGTGTTTGGTGATGTGTGCGTGCTCACGCATATGCATGCCTACTAACACACGAGTGAGAGGGGGAGTGGGGTGTGGAGTATCTTGGGGTGCAACAAATCAGGATTTCATCTCACAACCATCTTTTCATTTTCGTCATCACAGGAGTCAGCATATAATCATGAGAAGACCTACTGCAATCAGTAACAACAGCAGCCATCAGATATTCTGCTGGACAGTCGCTGCTGCTGGTTGGTCACAACCACTCGCCATCTGCAGCGGCCGTTCCTGAAGACTTCATATGCCTGCTGATTTCAGGGGGAGTAAAACACGACAGCAAGAGTCAGTGGAGGATTACACAGTCATGAATGGATAAACGACTGTTACTGCTGATCGAAGATAAAAGGCAAGCTACATGTGATGGACGTGTGCTGGAGCAGCAGTAGCGTACCAAGACATGCTGGAGCCACAACAGTTGCTGCAGGCCGCATAGCTTCTGGTTCAGGGCGTCAAGGGGAGCTGCAGGCAGAGTGCTGGTGCAGAGTGCTTCTGCCGCCATCTGCTGCAGCAGGCCCGATGTTGCTGCAAGCGGCCAAGTGATGCTTCAGGTGGGCAGGAAATGTTGCAGCCGCCATGGCCAGTCGCCCACAGCTGCTCCCGTGCGCCCGCTGGTGTGACAAGGGGATAGCATCACAAGTGAAAGCAGGCATGACTGACTCTGCATCCAGAACAAGACGAGGCTTACGGGGTGTAAGGCACCATGGCATGAGGCAGGGTAGAAAGCTGGAGCCTCACTCACAAGGGTGCATAAGATACGACGGTGCAAGAAGTCAGGACTTGGGTTCGGCAGAGAGGAGAGCACAACGCTCGCTCAAACGGAACACCTCACCTCGGCAGAAGAATGGGTCAGCAGCCAGTTGCTGCTAGTCGTCTCCAGCTCACCCGCCGCTACTTCCGCGAGTGTGTCGCTACTGCAATACGCTGATGCTGCTGCCGAGCGCCGGGTAGTGCTGCTGATGTGCGACCCCTGCTGCACGCCGTTGAAGTTGAAGCTGCTGGTCGGCACGAGAAAGCTGGCCTGCACAAGCTGCTGATGCGGCCGCCACTCGTCAACCGCCGCTGGTGCAGCTTCCGCCAGGTGCAGGAGCAGCCGCCAGGTGCAGGAGCAGCCGCCAGGTGCAGGAGCAGCCGCCAGGTGCTTGTGTACCAGTTGCAGCTGCTCCCGTACGCCACCTGGTATAGGGGGAGCAGCACAGGGCAACATGGAGCAGCACAGGGTCAAGGGGAGCAGCACAAGGTAACATCACAGGGTAACAGGGTAATATGGGTGAAACAGTCAGGTTCCACTAAGCATTCTCACCTCGGCAGGAAGAAGAAAGTCGTGCGTCACAGGTGCTGCCGTGCGTCACAGGTGCTGCAGCTCGCCACAGATGCGGCCGTCGTTGCAGTCGTGGGCAATGGCGTCATGCGCGAGGCGCTGCAGGAGCGCCAGGTCGTCCGAAATGGCAAGGGGAGGGCGCGCACCAGTAGAAGCCGCCACATGCGATATAATGCAGCAGCGCGCATGATGCTCCAGACGTGCGCCAGCCGCTGCTGCCGATCACCACGGGCATCGATGTCGCTGAGCGCCGTAAGCAGCAGTCACGGATCTGGCCGCAGCCGCAGAAAACGCGCATCCGGCGCTGCAGGTCGTCACGTGCGTTATTGTCACCGAGCGCCAGCCGTGACATCACGAGCGCTGGTGACGCGCACCAGCTGATGCTGCCGGATATCGCGACATACAACAGCTGACGCGCAATGGAAGCAGCTAACGCGGATCGGGGAGCATTTCGGGCTGCTGCTAGGTCGCGCGCTAGCAGCTAAGCTATGATTTCGCCATAATTTCGCCAGCAGCACTCATAGCTAGAGAAACAGCTTCGCAAGGGACATCTGAAAGCGAGCAAATGACAAGATTGGAGGACCCCTGCTCGACGAGGTCGCAAGAGCTGTGGGAAGGAGAGAGGAGCACCAGGGCGCAGCACCAATGTGACAGCAACGTAACAAGAAACACCTGAGATCCGAAAGTCGGGACCAAGTGTACACCTGACGAGGAACGTGCACGAAATCTGCTACATGACAACCGACCCAACTCTCCAACGTGTCAACGGAACTTTGAAACCCTAACGTGGTCTGCTCCGCAATCAACGCTGTCATCTTCAACAGCTCCGCAATCCTCGCCGGAATCATCCGCAATTACCTGTGTCACCAACGGTACCACCTTGTACTCCTACCCTCCACAAAAATGAACCCCAGTATAGTAAAATCTACAGCAAGGGGGAGTGTTGGAAATAGAAACATGAGGAACTATATATGCTGTTAGATTTTTACTGTAGTCTCCTTTATAAGACTCCAGGTCCTACAATAATTGTACAATTATTGTAGGGCCAGAATTATTGGAGTCTAGAGGTTTGGGGGTGAAATTATTGGTACTCCTTTATTGGAGTTGCCATTATTGGTGGTACAATTATTCGTGTGCATAGATAGGTGTGGGCAGGGTAGCCGATAGCATAAATTCCCTGCTGTGAGGTTTCGTAATCAATCCATTCATTGCAAAGTTCTCTTGTTATTCTCTTCTACAATCAAGGCTTCCGCTACGACGGCACTATGCCTTTCTAGCAGCTCGAGCATGGTTCTAAATGCTGGATCTGTACATCTTCGGTTCTACAAGGCAATTTGGCGTCACGAGCAGCTAAAAACTTGTTTCGACACCAGCCATTCCTCAGTCCACAAGGATCTGATCTGTACGAGTGTCAAGACTTGAGATCGATGTTCAGCCGTAACAGTCTGACAAAGTTCTTGACGTCAGAGGCAGAAGTTCTGGAATCTGGAGTAGTAGCAGGAAGTCGAAGCACTACTTGAGATTCTGTATACCCGAACTCAGAAAAGTTCAAGTATTTAAGCTCAAAATCCTGAAAGTTTTGTGTTCTTTAGTACCGTAATTTTTGCCAAGGGGTGGAATAACCCTAACGCACTGCATTCCTTTTTTGTTTTTGTTTTTTTTTTTTGTTTTAAGGATGCATTACACTTATAAGGTGAGTACATCCACAGTCAGTATAACGCACTGCGTTCCACAACCACAAGGCAACAAGCACCATCAACCCAGCCGGGTTTGCTTCCATAGTACAACAATATGCGTCGCTGCCAAAGCTGAGTGTGGGTTCAGTTCAGATTCAAAACAGAGTAGAGATATCCCAACCCAATCCCACCCTATCTCTACACTCCCCGCAGCGGAGCACCCATGCGAGTCGCCCCCAACACAGCCAACTGCTGTGCATGCACACATAGCCCTTGCCATCGCCGATTTCTGCGCGACCTCCCACCCAAACCAGGTTCCCGGACCGCCCTATAGTTACTGTTCGAGCCCATGTTCCCAGACCAGGTTGGGTCGCACCAGCGACTTGGGCTGCGTGTGGGCGCAGCTGTCTCAGGTGACACCACACTGCGCAGTGTGGTGTGGGCGAATCTGATTCGACTCAAAATTCCGACCCGTGGAAGGCCCAGTGCGCTCACTGTTGTCTGAGGACGACATCAGCATTTAGGCGGCGCATGGGGGGTAAGGCACTGATGGCTGGCGGATAACGCCACATAGGCACGCGACAGGCCACGTAGGCGCGCGCTAGGTCACGTAGGCGCGCGGAAGGCCACGTAGGCGCTCGGAAAGCCATCTAGGCGCGTGGAAGGCCGAGTGAGTGCGCGGAAGGCAGAGGCACGCTTAGGGGGCGGAAGGCACCAGCCGCAGCCATAGCTGTCAAACTATATGTTTGTGTTCTCTCTAGGCTATAGTGGGTTAGCCTACAAGGGGTACAACACTTTAGGGTTAATACTTGTACCCAACTCATTCATAGTTCATTCATTCTGACATGGTATTAAGAGCAGGAAACCTGTTAAGTTTTTAGGGCCCACCGCTTGTTCCTGCCCGAAGCGCCCTTGCGCTGTCCGGCCCTGCTCAGACAGTATCGCGCTGCCCTGCAGCTACTCGCACTGCCTGCCCCCCGCACGTCGCGCTCTGCTGCAGCCTGCGAGTCGCGCCCTGCTGCCCTGCCCAATGCGCGTCGCCCTGCCCTGCAGGCCGCGCCCAGCTGCCCTGCAGCCCGTGCATCGCGCTGCCCTGCCCTTAGGCCCGCGCGCCGCCCTGCCCTGCAGCTCGCGAGCCGCACTGCCCTGCCCTGCAGCCCAGCGCGTCGCGCCCTGCTGCCCTGCCCAGTGCGTTGCGCCCTACTGCCCCGCGCGTCGCGCCCTGCTGCAGCCCACGCGCCGCGCTCTGCTGCTCCTGCGTGTCGCACCCTGCTGCAGCCCGCGCGTCGCGCGCGTCGCGCTCTGCTGCCTCGCGCACTGCTGCCGTGCACAGCGCGCGCCTTGCTGCCCTGTCCAAAGCGCACCCTGCCCTGCAGTCCGTGGCGCACCCTGTCTTGCCCAGCCATGCCGCCCAGCCCGGCCCAGCTGTGCCGCCCAGCCCGAGCCGCCCTGCCCAACCCGAGCCGCGCTGCCCTACCTCGATCGCCAGCCCCACCGAGCCGCCCTGCTGCTACTACTGCTGCTGCTGCTGCTCGTGCTACTGCTGCTGCTGGTGGAGGTGCTGATGAGAGTGCTGGGAGTGCTGCTGGTGCTGGAGGTGCTGGAGGTGCGACTGGGAGTGCTAGAGGTGCTGCTGGTGCTGGAGGTGCTGGACCTACTACTGACCGTCACTGCCTGTCATGGCCACTATCACGGCAGTTGCAGCGGCTAGGGGTGGACAACGGCGGTCACTGCCTCTCCCAGACGACCCCACCCCTCAGCAGCTTCGCGAGTGGGTTCTTCAGCGAGCCCATCCAGGTGGTGGAGGCTTTGGTTTTCTGCGGTAGCAAAGTCAGCAGGAGACCTTCTCCCCGCAGGTGCTTAGTGAGTTGTTTCCTCAGCGATGTGTCACTGGTTCTGTCGAGGCTGCTGCACTAGGTGCTAGTGAGTCTGCTACCGCGCTAGGTGCTAGTGAGTCTGCTGCCGCACTAGGTGCTAGTGAGTCTGCTGCCGCTCCAGATGCTAGTGAGTCTGCTGCAGCTTTAGGTGCTCGTGAGTCTCCCGCCACAGGTCCTTCCTCAGCTGAGGCCTTGCACACTTTCACACTTGACTCAAGCGTGTCACGTTGCTTCTTTCGTGACTGCACCACACTCACACCACTTGCTGCACCGGTACCAATCTCACTGGGTGACCCCAATGGGGGCCCAGTAGTCGCACGAGCCTCCACTGTCCTCTCGTGTCCAGCACTCCCCTCCGGTTCTCTGTCAGGTATCCACCTCCCCACGTTCTCGATGAACTTGGTGAGCAACGCTGCCATTCAGGATGTCTGGGTTGATACCTTTATTCCTAGAGGGCAGCGTGTGGCGATTTGTACGTGCTCCCGGACTGGCCGTCACCTGGCTACGTTCACTCGACGACCTGGGTCTAGTCTGTACACATTGACCACTGCGTCTGCACAGGTGGCTGAGGAAGGTCAGGTGGTTGCGTCGAGTCAGGTGTCTGTCAAGCTATATTTATTTTAGCTTCTATTGTTAGTCTAGGTGTACTTTCTACTTGTTGGGGTTAGGGTTAGGTTTCCTATATACTTGTTGTACTTTCCACTTCTATTCATTCTCATTTCTCAACATGGTATCAGAGCTAGGTTTACCCTAGCTATGGTTTCCCCGAGCATTTTCAGTCTCGATAGTTGGGCCCACCGAAATCGCTACTAGAGCGCGCCCCGTCCTAACGCGCGCCCCTTAGCTCATCGCCCGTCGCCCGTAGCGTGCCTGTCATTCGCAGCTCTCCCGTCGCCCGTCGGTTTTCCCCTCCCGTCGCCCCGTCGCCTGTCGATTTTTTTTTTTCCCCTCCCGTGGCCCGTCGCCCGTCTCCCGTCGACCGTAGGAATAGGCCCCACGGCCCCTTTTTCGCTAGCGGGCCCCGTGTCCCTTTCGATAACGGGCCCCGTGGTCCTGTCGTCAGTCGCACGCACGCACAGCAGCAGCCGCGCGCACGTGGCGCCACCGCTACCTTACCCGCCGCCCCATCTCTTAGCCGCCCCACCTGTCACCCGCCCCCCCCACGAGTTGAAACCCGCCGCCCCACCTGACACCCGCTGCCCCACGAGCTGCCTCACCCGCCGCCCCATCAGTTAGCCTCAGCCCCACCAACTAGCCACACCTGGAAACCTTAGTCTACCACCCGTACCCGCTGAACCGCAC